ATAAAAAAGATGCTGAGCCTCTAGAAAGAGTACAGAGAAGAACAACAAAGATGATCAGGGGACTGGAAGCTAAAACATATAAGGAACAGTTGCTGGAATTGGGTACGTTTAGTTTAACAAAGAGAAGGACGAGGGGAGACATGATAGCAGTGTTCCAATATCTCAGGGGCTGCCACAAAGAAGAGGGAGTCAAGCTATTCTCCAAAGCGCCTGAAGGCAGGACAAGAAGCAACGGATGGAAACTAATCAAGGAGAGAAGCAACCTAGAACTACAGTAAGGAGAAACTTCTTGACAGTTAGAACAATTAACCAGTGGAACAACATGCCTCCAGAAGTGGTGAATGCTCCAACACTGGAAGTTTTTAAGAAGAGACTGGACAGCCATTTGTCCGAAATGGTATAGGGTTTCCTGCCTGAGCAGGGGATTGGACTAGATGACCTCCAAGGTCCCTTCCAACTTTATCATTATTATATTACTATATCCAAAAAAGGTGCCGGAACTCTGTTCTGGGCATTCTATGACAAAAAAAAACCCCTGCATACAATATTCTAACTTAGTAATACCATATGTGGTCCTCCAACCTTTGGGTAAGCCCTTCAGAGATTCCCCAAAGGCATTGTTTCAGAAACATTACATTGTTTTCTGTGAATGTAAAAAATTGGATTCTAAATTTGAATGTGGCAGGAAAAATTACTGTATTAAATATAAAACCCCTGGCATATTAACAAGGTATATATCCTATGGTAGCCAGTAAACTATAGGTTAGAATTGTTGGATTTGGATGGCAAATGAAGCCACAAATTAGAAATATATTCTAGTTTAATATGTCTGAATCTAGCTACTCTAAAAGCAAGTCTAGCTTCTATGACTTCTGTTGGTGGCTTAAGGAATGGGGGATTTTTAGCTTGCTAGATTCTGTTTTCCAACTTGCTTTGATCCCAACCAACACAGCTATTGTTCAAGGATGTGAGATATTGTCAACATTCAGAAGGCCACTGGGTCACCATCCTTTTTACTTCCCAGCTTAAATCACTGCACTGCAACAATTGTTGTAAACTTTGTTTACTTTTGGATTTCCTTAGAAAGATGGAAAGGATTAACAAACAAGGAGAAAAAAGCCCCAATCAGAATGTAGGAATGAATAACATGAGAGGGAGGAGAGATGTAAAGAAAGGCTTCTTCATTAGCAGCCAAAAGAACAGGACTGTTTTGGAAACACTTGGAAAACAACAATCTTTTCTGAGACTCGCTTTAATTTATCCCTACAAAGAGAATCCTTTCCCTTTCATAGTTTTGCTCAAAGCTGAGAAAAAGTTACACTTGCTTCTTCCATCCTTCCATCCTAACAAATCTATTATGAATATTAAGGGCAGAATAGAAAAGGAGTTTGGGGGTTTATATACACTACATACTAATGTTTGCTGTGTTGTATAAATCAAGCCATTCTGCATTTCTTAGGTTATGGGTAAAGAAATTATAACTCAGTTTATGAAACATGTGAACATCTGTGTGGCTGCCAAGAATCAACACTGATATATAATTACAATGTGTGAATCAGATCACTGAATCAATTGATAGCAAGCAGTAAATAGCCAAATACAGAAAACGTTCTTCCTTCCCACTCAGATGATGAGTAACTTATAATTCTAAAGAGATGACCATGTGCCCTTTTGATCAAGTGCAACCCCAGTTCAAGGCTAAACTATGTATTCTTCTGCACTTGGGAGAAAAAGATCAACTTGGTTACGGTAAGTACAGAAATAGTTAATTCTTCCTCAATCTGTATCTGAACTGAATCACAGATAGATAGAAAAGACAAACCTCATTTTCACCGTGGAACTGATTTTGGCAAACAAACAAACAAACCACAAAAATCCTGAAGTGGTATTTTTGCTTATTGAAAAGCATGCCTCCAAATAAATTTCAGTTGCATGTGTTTTATTTATTCAGTCTGTGTCCTTTCTATTTATCAAGTGCTTAAACCAGCAAACAACAATCACAATAATTAAAACCATCATATCTAAAATCATTAATACTTACATTTCAACTAAAAAGTGTATTAGTTGTTTTGCCAAGGTGGACATGCTAAATGCAATTCCCAGCGCAGAACATTTCATAGCTCTTAAAATTGAAGTCTCTTACTTTTTAATTAAGTTATAGAAAATGTGGTTTATGCTACATCATCTTGGGTTTATGCGTCCAATTTATTTTACAGCTGTACATAAAAAAATATTTCCTTGCAAGACAAGAAGAATAAGAAAAGCATACTGGGGAAAATGTACATATATACATTTAACAAAATTTCGGACAAGAACTTACTTGTACCATGATGAGTTTTTTTTTCCAGTCACAATTGGAATCAGGCCACTCTTCCCCAAAGCATAACCACCAAGTGTAATTAGGACAACCGTTGTACCCTTCAATGTACCCGATCAATTCTGAGGGAAGAAAGAGAAGAGAGGGTGGGTTTTTTCCCCCCTTGTATTTGGTTACTTCACCACAGGAAAATATAATATCCACTCTCCAATTAGTGAATGCACACGGTGAGAAAGTCATGCCTCTACTACCAAGGATGCCTCAAGTTTAACAAAAAGGGAGCAGTGAAATCCCCAAAATTTAGAATCAATACACAGCTAGTCCTCAACTTACAACCATTCGTTTAGTGACCATTTGAAGTAACAGCTTATGGTCATTTTTGATACATAAGGCCATTTTGATCACATTATCAAAATGAGGGCGCCTAGTAACTGGCATGTATTTATGCATTGTCCTGGGGTTGTGTGATTCCATTTGTAATCTTACCAGCCGGTTTTTAACATGCAAAGTCAATAGGGGAAGTCAGATTCGCTTAATGATTGCACGATTCAGTTATCAATAAGTGATTCATCTAACAACTGGGGCAAAATAGGTTGTAAAATGGAGCCAAACTGCCTTGCTTCACAACAGAAATTTTGGGCTCCATTATAGTCATAAGTACCACCTATAATATACCATAAGTATACCACCTATAGTGGCCATTTTGCAAGTTTTAACTTAATGAAAACCTATGGCTTCCCATAGATAGTTGAACTATCTATGGGCCATAGATTTAGAAAAAGCATGGCAAGAACAGGGACACATTGTAAGTCAGATGTAGATAGCCTGAGTATGTCCCCTAACCAATCATAAAAATCCATAATGGCTTTCCATTATGCAAATCATAGTTGAAATGTTATGCACAAATATAGCCTGGTTGCATATCTCTGTGCATAGAAAGAGGGAGAAAATGAGAAAACCCATTCTCACATAACACATTAACTTCATTAAAATGTACAACATTTAGCTCCATCAAAAAAAAATTTCAGATGTTTAAGCTGGTTTCAAAAAGAGTTGTAACACTTGTGACCATACTGCAAATCTACAGTGGATCATGGAAAAATCTTAAGATATCAAAAGATCATCTATATCTGCTTTATTACTATAAGAAAGTCTTCAATTGTATTGATCACAGCAAGCTGTGGAGAGCCCTAAAAGACCTGAGAATGACAACACATCTGGCCAAGTTGGTGCAGTCACTGTTCCCAATTCAGAAAGCCACTGTATGGAAATCCTGATTGTTTTAAGGTAGAGAATGGAACGCAACAAGATTGTATTCTTTTGGATTTCTTATTCAACCTGTATACTAAAGTGATCATGAAGAAGCTGAAAGTTGAAGAATCTAAAATTTGAATAAAGATTGGAGGAACATCAATAATCTTCAATATGTTGATGGCACAACTATCAGGAATCAAAGAAAGCCTGAAACATTTGATCAAAAGATTAAAGATAAAAGCAAGACTCTTCCTGAACATCAAAAAGACCAAGCTTATGACCACTGTGAGGAATGGAAATTTCAAAATAACAATGGATGGTAAAGAGATTGAATATGTACAAGAATTCACTTTCATAGGATTGCAGATCAATCAAAGCAGGGAATACAGCTCAAAAATAAAGCATCAAATCACACTGGGTCACACAACAATGGTGAGTGTGTGTCAAGTATGGAAAAGCAAGAACATCAGCTTGATAACCGAATGCAGATTAGTCTACTTAAAAAAATTGGACCATGAAAACAACTAGACAAAAGAAAAAATTATTTGAGTTGTGTTAGAAAAAGTTCCTGCACATTCCTTGGACAGCAAAGGTGACAAACAAGAAGGTACTGGAATGTATAAAACCAGACATCTCATTGGAAAATCACAAAATTCCATATTTTGGCCATATAGTATCATGCAATCAAATTAACCAGAAAAGGGCTGTTATGCTTAGAGTTGTCAGTGGTAAAAGAAAACAAGGCCACCAAAACACAGTAGCCAAGACCCTATCAAAACCAGCACCTGCCAGAGAATAAAATAACTGAAAGCTATACAAAACTGAAAAATGTGGAGAATGCTGATCTATAGAATCGCCAAGAATCAGACATGAATGTACAGAAAGTATAATTACATTATAGGGTCTACAGTTTGTAGATTGTAGATATGGGATGAATCAACATGAGGTTTTTATTCTTAGAGCATTACAGTTTACATTGTGTTTTGTTAACCTGGGCTTAATGTTTTGAAATGTTGTATGAACTCAGCCCTTGAATTCTGCACCTGGCACATTTTTGCTAAAAGAATGGGATTCTTGGCTGCAAAAGACTTCTATATATAGAAACTATTAATAACAAAAGCAGTGGTTTCCAATCCAACATTCATAAAGGCTTTGTTGTTTTATTAGGACAGGGATGGGGAAACTGTGGACCTTTCATTTCAACAATATCTCATAGCATACCTAATACTTAAGACAGATGGAAGCTATTATCCCAACATCTGGATGGAATCTCAGCTACAAATGAAATTAGGGACTTTCTGCTTTCAAAAGAAGCAGATAATGATAATTGGGGCCTGAAAGTTTAGGAAAAGATAAGGAAATATATGGCCAATCAATTGCACGTGCTTTTCTATCCTTACCTTTGCTTAAAGGGATCCAGTAAAGGTAGTCCTCGACTTATGACCAAAACAGAGAACAGAATATCTGTTATTAAGTAAGATTGTTATTAAGTGAATTGCACCCAATTTTATGACCTCTTTTGCCATGGCTGTTAAGCAAATGATTGCAGTTGTTAAATGGTCATTAAGCTCCCCCCCATTGACTTTGCTTGCTGGAAGCCAACTGGGAAGGTCACAAATGACAGTTCAGATGACCCCAGGACACTGCAACTGTTGTAAATTCATTCCAGTTGCCAAGCACCTGAATTCTGATTACATGACTGTGCAGATGCATTGTTGAAAGTGCAAAGATTGGTAAGTCACTTTTTTCAGTGCCATTGTAACTTTGAATGGTCACTAAATGAATGATTTTAAGTCAAGGATTATCTGTCGTGATTTTAAATTCAGTCTTATGAAAGTTTGGGATGGATTGCACTGGAAAACGTGTAATTTTTAAGAGAGGGAGGGAAACCTGAAGTAGATTTGGAAGCCTTCTAACAACTATATACAGCTCAGGGGTGGCATCTATACCAAATACTTGCAGAAGGCTGCCTGACTAAATTTCTGGCAACTCAAGTTAAAAAAAGATGAAAAACACCAAAAAAACAAATACTGCATGAATACTGAATGAAACTCATAGCTTGACTCTATAAGCATCAATATTGAGTCTTCAAAGAGGATCCTAAGAGTCAAGAATGCTCTTCTTCATTCCCAAAACCAAGTTTTTTTCATTATGCACTTTCCTCTTTTTTATTGGACAAGAATCAAAGTGACCAAATGTTCATTTGATCCATGGTTTTTTGAATAGAGAAGACGCTTCCTTGTAACCTATTATTTAGGCAGAATGTTTTTCTTCTAAGCTGATTTCCCTGTTTGGTTGCAGGAGGACAGCAGAAGTGACCTGTTCTAAACCTGTCATACCACTGCAATCTCAATCTTGGACTGCTATCTGAGCAACATGGATTATATGCCATCAAGTCTGGATTTACTCTTAAAAACTACACAAACCACTCCAGGACAAGCTGCATATATTATATTATATATTATATACATTAATGGGTGCATACCAGGCTCTCTTTTAGTAGCAAAAGCTCAATGAAGCCTTGTTTAGTGGTTATTTTAGAGTAGAATTAACATACATCTGAACAAGCGTTCTTAGGAGTTGGGTTAAAAACCGCCAGCATACCTGATATGAAAACCTGCAGATTGAAGATGGGAGCAAACTGTTCCTTCAGTAGATTTCCATGCAGTATCCCATCTCCCGGAATTTCAGATTGGCTCCAATAGACATGGCAAACACCTTTGCGCATGCCACACAGTTGGTTTCCCATGATACGGAGAAGCACACCTGGAGCCACTCCTTTGAGAAGGCGAAGAGTGTAATCTGCTTGCAGTTTATCGCTCAAAGTGGTGGGGTCAGGCAATGAGACATCTTCCAAATCAGGATAATTGCCAGGGACACCAGGAGGCACAAAGCACAGGCCTTGTGAATTCACTTTACTGATCAATTTGTGTAAGACCTGACGACCCCGATAAAAAGTCCGAACCTCAAAATCTGTCTCTAAAAAGAAGGAAATCCAAATTCTCAGAGTAGAGACAGTACTTTTTAATTAGTTCACACACACACAAAACTTCTACTACTGTAAACTACTACTAATACAGTACATTAATGCCAAGGAATCTGTGACTCTGAATTACAACTTCCAGCACTCTTCAGTACTGGCTATGCTGATTGGTTAGTTCAGCCACATCTATAGGGCCATAGATTTTCCAGTTTCTTAAGATGCCAAGATGGCATCGGACCTGGATATCTCCGAGACCGCCTTCTGCCGCAGGTTACCTCCCATCGGCCAGTACGCTCCCACAGAGTGGGTCTCCTCAGGGTGCCGTCAGCCAGACAGTGCCGGCTGGCGACCCCCAGGGGGAGGGCCTTCTCGGTGGGAGCCCCCACCCTCTGGAACGAACTACCCCCAGAGATCCGGGTGATCCCNTAGCGGGGTTTTTTAAGGGCAATTTTAAGGGTAATTTTAATGATTGGCCTTCTTAAATATTTCCTATTAATTCGGTTTTTAATATAGATATTATTGTATTATTGTATTGTGGTTTTTATGAGGCTGTTAGCCGCCCTGAGTCCTATGAGGAGAAGGGCGGGGTACAAATTAAATTATTATTATTATTATTATTATTATTCTCTTACCAAGTTTTTCACTACTATCCTGCAGGAGGACTTCTTATTTCCTCTAGATTCAGAAACTTACCAAATGGAGTTGTTATCAGTTGTTCCAATGGTGAGATCATGGCAATGGGTGGATACAATTCTAAATTGGATGAAGGTGGGCTTCCACAGGAAATTATATTTTCTGGCGCTATTCCTGAATATGGAACTTTACATATGGAACAAAAAATATATATATTAAGAAACTAAAACTGGTGGGTTTATAACTACATTCATTCAAGGAACTAAAATGTGGATATATGGAAATGGAAGAACAACTATTTCCACATCATTATTTGGGCAGGTTATCTCCCCAACTTCCCCATTATCTAAGGTCTTGTCTTAATATAAATTCTGTATCAGTTTGTCCATTCTAAGCATTTCATGAAGTGAACTGCAGTTCATGACAGGTTACACTTTTTAATATATTTTGGATCAGGATTAAATTAAATCAGGATCCTTCTGATTTAATGGGTGTAGGATTCAAATCTTGAGAGAGCAAGCAGATTTTGATCTAGTGGAATTGAAGCTTGAAAGTTTTTGTTCTCCATCATGGGCAGAATTTGGTATCTGGAATGGAACTTACTTAGAAAAGATTATATTCCATTCCATTATAAAGGCTTAGATTTAAAAGAAAACATTTTTAAAATATTCAATTAAAATAAAGCTGAGAACTCTACTTTTTCTAATAGATCAATCTCATTCTTCTGAACATTTTTAGAAGGAAAAAAACCCCACTGTAGTTTAGCCAAAAGGCAGAAAGCAAGTTGGACAATTGCTATTAAGTTTTTAAATAGTATTTCTCTGCATCATTGTATAGGTAGCCCTCGACTTACAACCACAATTGAGCCCAAAATTTCTGTTGCTAAGTGAGACATTTGTTAACTGAATTTTCCCCATTTTTCAACCTTTCTTGCTACAGTTGTTAAGTGAACCACAGCACTTGTTAAATTAGTAACATAGTTATTAAGTGAATCTGGCTTCCCCATTGACTTAGTTTGTCAGAAGGTCACAAAAGGTGACCACATGACCCTGGGACAATCATAAATATGAGTCAGTGGCTAAGCGTCCAAATTCTGATCAGTGACCATGGGTATTCTACAACGGTCGTAAGTGTGAAAATGGTCATAAATCACATATTTCAGTCACTAAATGAACTGTTGTAAGTCGAGGTCTATCTGTACTACAGTGTACTAGATCTTCATCTTCCAACAATGCTCTTTCAGAACATTTCAATTCTTAAACTTGTTCTTGTCCTTCTTCCAAATGTCATTCATGTTTCTCAGTAATTTAGAAAACAAGAACTCTTTATATTATGTGAAAGTGAAGACTTATGCATCCAATCATTATTCCTCTTAAAAGAGGAATTCTTTCTATTCCATATTATTATTTTCTTTCTACAATATCTAGATTGGCACATGATGTTTAGATGATAAGGTCTTGGTTCACACAGCATTAAAGCATAAATATAGTTTTCAAAGCTCAAGAATGAGTTTATTGTCTATGAAACAGTATGGTTCATTTGGCTTTAGGTTGCTGCTCTGTGTGAATGGAACTCCTTTGACCACAAGACAACCAAGAATTTTCCCTAGATTAAGAAAGCTTACCAAATTCATTAGTTCCATCAGTTTGTTCCAATAGAGCCATTGGTGATATAGAACTAACCGGATCTAATTTGGACGGAGATAGAGTTTGATACCACATTAGATAGTCTTCTCCGAGGGCCAAGAGTGAAGTATTGTAGAAGACAAAGAGACATAACAAAAACTTAATACTGAAACAAGGAACAATTTGGACTTTTTCAAAATATAAAATAACTTCATCTCCCCCCTTTTGACCATTTATTCCTCAAAATGTCGCCAATCTTTTGATCGCTAACATTTTATTTTAAAGACATTCAAGAACAAGACTAAAAATGGAGAAAAACAAAAAATTGAGCTGTACAAATTTTAAACATTAAATAAGAATTTACAACATGCTAAGGAAAAAAGAATATTTGTTATTCTACTAACATTTCATTGGTACAGTATACTGTATAAAGATTATTTTACATTACTTTAACATTATAATTAAAATCAAGTCAGAAATTAAGAAAAACAGCCAATATAAGGATTATTAGTCAAAATAATGATTTTACAACCTGTCTCGTCATAGTTGTTAAGTTAATAGCAACGTTGTCAAGTGAATCTGGTTTCCCCATTGGCTTTGCTGGTCAGAAGGTCACAAAAGGTGATCACGTGACCCAGGGACACTGCAACCCGTCATAAATATGAGCCAGTTGCCAAATGCCCAAATTTTAATCAGGTGACCCTGGGGATGCTGCAATAGTCATAAGTGTGAAAAATGGTCCTAAGTCATTTTTCTGAAACTTTGAATGGTTACTAAACAAATTATTGTAAGTCAAGGGCTAATCTGAAGCAGTCTGAAGTTTATTTTATATTGTAGAGCTTTGAAATCTTATGTTAATAGAATCCCAAATGCTGGATACAATATAGCAGAAATCTATTTGCAAAATTATAATTCATGTCATGTTAATTTAATGTCATGCATTAAATATGAAGTTATTTTGACATTAATGCATACACTTAAAAACCTTTGGTTTGTCTGGAAATGACTCAGTTCCTTCTTTGGTGGTTTGTCTGTCCACCAAAGAAGGAACTGAGTCATTTCCACTAAGTTCCAGTGGAAAATATAAAATATACTAAAGCCAATCCAGTATTTTTTCTAGGAATGCAAAGGTTATATATACTGGTGAGAAAGAAAAGTTAGTATTTAAAATTTGTTTCATTTTTTGGGTGAATAATCTGCCAAAATTGCTGGGCTTTATGACACTACTTTCAAATATGAAAGAATTCTCCAACCTGATTATTAAATTTTTAACTTTTTTTAACCTTAATGTTATTTATTTTAGCTATCAACTTAGGAGTAAAATACCAATAAAAAATCTTGTACTAATTTTCTAAGTAAATTTGTCTTCCATTGATGTTCCCATTTTTGCCTTTTAATTTAGATTCTGCATGCTTTTAAACATAGAGGTACAATGTTTAACTTATTCTGTTTCTCAATTACATTTCAGTGTCTATTTTATATATATGCCTCAACAGATGTTCTATATTTATTTTACAAGCATTTCAAAATGTTGTCAGGTCTCTACATGTTCCACTTGGCTTTTATAATTTTTAAAAAAAACTGTATTAACTTTTTTGGATTGTATTGAAATCAATGAAGGAGAATCTCAGAAGATTTCATTTTTGTTTTATTAAAGGTTGTATTCTGCAATCTTTACAAATGATATTTGCACTTATTGTGTTGACCATCATGAAAATAAATATTTAATATGATCCTTTTGATTCCTATTACTCACCATTATCAGAATTGGAACGATCCACGGAACTCTCCTGTGTTTCACCCTATAGAACAGGATGAAAGATCAGAAAAAGCATCTAGTCTTGGCATGTTCGACCTATTGGCTTGCCTGATCTACACTGAATGAAGAGGAATTGCCACGGGCTGTTTATAAAATATATAATGTAGTTAATACATACAAATGCACATAATAATGTGAAAAGTTTATAATCTTATGAGGCTGCATTACTGGCTCTCCAGGATCACATGCCGCCCATGAGCCATGAATTGGACACACCTGATCTGGTGGTCTCTTGCCCTCCCTTCTCCATTCAGAGTGATATCCAACTCCCAAGTTCTTTTTTTCATTTTCATTTGACCATTCCAGCATGTAAGCTACAAAATGTAGCATATATCAATAAGCACTGCCACCTAGTGTTAAGCACACAAAACACAAAGAAAGGCTTTTGAAAAGCTTTTGAAAACAAGGGAGAAAGTGGTGCTGAGTTAAATCTTTAAAGATATAAGAAGATACTACAACTTCATTCTGCCAGGGGACAACATGCTATACTGAGTGTTTGGAAAGCTCCAGCAAAAGAAGGGAATCTGACTATCGGGTGGGATAGAGAAGAACTGACCTGACTAAATGATGAACTTGATCCCCGTGACCTTCTACTTTCAGCTGGAATCAATGGGGCATCATTGATCTCTTCAATTGGATTATTTAACTCTATATAAGAAAATAACAAACAAATATTCTTTCATTCTGATCCACAATTCTCCCTTCTTTAAATTATACTGTCCTCGGTAGCTGCCAAGCTTTCTGAAGTTAATTCCTTACTGGCAATATTAAGGTTGATTTTATAGACTTTGTGAGGATCTTCAGAGTCAGTACTATTATTCTCCACCATCTCAATACCATCTTTTCGGTTCAGAGCAGAGCGGAAGTTCCTCTTCCAATCTGAAGGGGTTCGAGGATCCGATTCTGGGTTGTAAAGGTGTCTAACAATGGCCCAATCCTAGGCAGAAAGGCATTAGGTAGGTAAAACCAGCACAGTATATTCTGCAATTGCCATGCTTGGCTTCTCTTCCTCCATGCTCCCCATCAAACTAGCATATGACTGAATTCATCCAATACACCAAAATCTGCTTGGTTTCTGTCTTGACTTGGTTCATTTTGTGAACCCAGCCATTACAGTTTATAAGGCATGGTTTATGGCTTAGCGTGCTGGGGAAACCAAGTCATATGATCTAGGAAAGTTTATGCAGCAACGAGTTTCTTAATTTTTAACAGACCATAATAATCTTTGTAGTTTTTGATGAAAAAAACCACTATTTTCTATTTTAGCCATTTTCAGGGATTGTCCTCTGAAAGTGGCTAAAATATATGGCTCAGTAATCAAATGCCTAGACAGATATCTAGAAGTGTAGAGAATAAGGGAAAAGGCCTTGATGGAGATAAGATCAAGTCCACAAGAAGCAGATAATATTAGGAAGCAGCTCAGACAAACACTTCCCTAATTCACTGAACCATAAATAAGAAGGAAGTACAACATAATCAGACTTGTAAGATTCTGTTATAGCCAGTTTCAATAAAAGTAGTTTTAGCCTTCCTGTGAAATTGATTTCTTGTTCAGGTTTAAGTGGGGCTGGCAAAGGGAGACAGGTGACTAGTAGAAGCCACTATGGTATCAATGAGCCATGACACCAATGTGCAGAAAGTGCTGATTATATCATGGTGGCGCAGTGATTAGAATGCAGTATTGCAGGCTGACTGTGCCAACTGCCAGGAGTTCAAGTCTGACCGGCTCAAGCCTTCCATTCTTCTGGGGTCAGTAAAATGAGGACTCAGATTGTTGTATGCTGACTCTGTAAACCGCGTAGAGAGGGCTGTGAAGCACTGTGAAGTAGTATATAAGTCTAAGTGCTATTGCTATTATTACTCATGATGACACAGTCACTTATTTGCCCTTGGGGATCTCAAAATTTGTACGATGACAAGCATAGCATAGTGATAGAAGTTCTGCTCCTATTGTGCTTGCATTGCATGCCTATACAGATGTGTAGTTTTAAACTCCCAGAATTCCTCAGCCAGTATATTCCTGTGACTTGAGAAAAACTGCTCTAGCAAATGAACACTTAACCTTTTGGAAGCCAAGAGCATCTCTTGTAAACAAGACAAAAGCATAATGAAACTTAAATTTAATTGATTTTATTTCTCTCCAGTCATAGTTTGAATTATTTCTCCTTTCTATCACAATAAAAGGCACTGGGTGGCTCAGATGTGCACCTCTGTCACAATGCAACATTTTCTCCTTGATGCCCTCTAAGCATGGTATCATAGGTACTAAACTACTTCTGATCTTGCCCATTTTGATTAAGGAATTATGGGAGTCCCATATTGGAAAGAATACTTTAGGGATACAGCAACAACTACCAAGGGGCCCCAAAGACGTATCAATTTCATCTACTGATTAAAGGACTAGGACCAGGAAAACCTGAGTACTGCTCCATCCTTAAGCATGGAAGTAGCTGGGTGAGTTTGGGCCAGTCATTTTCTCTCAGACCTGGGATTCCTGATCTGGTCAACCTTATAGAACTGACATATCTGTCCATGTAACCAGTAGGAGTCCAGACCGACTCAAAGCCCACCACCACCACAAGCTCATAATATAGAGGCTGAATAATTCAGAGAACCATCAGAAAAAAATGGACTTGCCATCAACAATTGAAGAAAGACAGTTTGGTCTAGTGGTTAAGGCACCAGGCTAGAAAGCAAGAGACCATGAGTTCAAATTTTGCCTTAGCCATGAAAGTCAGCTGGGTGACCTTGAGTCAGTCACTTTTCCTGAGCCCAACTCACCTTATGAGCCAACAATGTGCTTACAGGTGCCCAAAAAGTCAATGCAGTCCTAGGTTGCATCCATAAAGTAATAGCATCAAGATCAAGAGAAGTGACAGTACTGTTTTATCCAGCAATAGTGGGTCACATATGGAATACTGCATCTAGTTATGGTCACCATGATACAAAAAAACATGTTGATACTCTGAGAAGTGTGCAGAGAATAGCAACAAGGATGATAAAGACTCGGGAGAAATCAATTGATGAACAACTGAAAGAGTTAAGTATGTCTAGCCTATGGAAGAAAAGGATTAGGAGGGAAATGATAACTATCTCCCAATACTTTGAGGAGATGTCACAAAGAAGGGGTTGACTTATTCTCCAAAGCACCAGAATGAGGACAAGAAGTGACAGATGGGAATCTTGTTAAAGATGTAGAGAATTTTTCTGACAAGAACAATTAATCATCTCTTTCACATAGGATGTGACACACATCCAACAGGGGAAGAAAACCCTGCTAGCTTACCTCAAAGATCTGAAAATCCATTGGGTTATTGTTTTGCCGTGAGGCATGCTTCCATGGCACTCGGAAAAGTGTTTTTTCTGAGTTGAGCCAAGACACACCTGGATATCGCTGGCTATCCAACTGCTCTATCAGCCAGGGCACAATGAGAGGTTTCTGAGTTCCCATTGGGGATATACAGATATGGTGTCAGTTTAAATCTGTGGGGAAAGAACAGAACATTAACACAGTGCACTGGGGAAGTGTGGAAGAAATGCTTTTCATGCATGGAGAGAACCTTTTCTTATCCTAAGGTCCTTGGTAGGCCTCTGAGGTTGGTGGTTTTCATACAGATATTTCATTACCAACTATATAACATCATCAGGGCTGTGTACAGATGTGCACTGATGATGTTACCTATTATGGTAATGAAATGGCTGCAACCCCCCCCCCACCAAATTCAGAGAACATCAAGGACCCCACAGTTCAACCCTGAGATACAATTCTCTTCTATTGTTTGCAACCCCCTTGCCATCCACAACTACTTCCCCAATCTGCAGCTGTGCAGATAACTGAACCTTCTAAAATTTCCTTGTCACCAGGGACAAAGTCCAAACACATGGAGGATAATTGCTTGATAAAAGCTCTAAGCAGCAGCGAATTTAGGCTGCTCCCCTATTTTTAAACAAGACGCTGATCCTCCTGCAATAATCTTTTCTCATGCACAACATATTTTGGACATCTGAACAATCAACTGTCTCATCCATAGCTCCACTCTCTCTAAATAAAAAAAGATGGAATAGTTGCACAAACCTTTTGGCAACCTTCAGCCGCTTCCCGTCTGGAAGTGTGCAGAGTAGGATTTACTTCGCAATAAAGTTCGGGTTTATTCTGTAAATTTTGGAAATACCGCAAAGAGGAACTGTTATTTGGTGGGCCTCGCGTATTTTGATTTCAGATCCGGAAGGCGGAGCGTAGTTGCGGGAGACTTCGGCACTTTTATCATCGCTGTAAAGATAGCTTGAGCGTCTTCCCGAACTCCGAGCCCCCCTCCCCAATCAGAGTACCTACCTCTTTCTCTACGGGATCTCTACTTCAATCGAGCGATTAAAAAAAACAGGTTACAAGGCTCCCTCTCCACCGTCACATATTTACTTTCGATTTCTTGATTCAGAAATCTTCAACTGGGCACGCCTTCTAGTCTAGTTGAATCAGAGAGGATTTTTTTTCCTCCGTACTTCTGAAGAAACCACCCATCAGGGAGGCAGTTTTGATGTTTTTTTTTTCTTTTAGGAAAGCAATATTTCGACAGCGAGAAATCTGTGATGGTAAGAATCTTAGGAAATCATGCCGATTGGAGTCGACGGAGAACTGGATAAACGTCATTTCCCGGTGCCAGTTTGGGGAAAGCTGTGAGAAATTGCTGAGGAATTTTAGAGGAGGGTGTGGGCTTCTAGAATAACCTCCAATTGTGAAAAAGGGTGCCTAACGCTGCTAATTTTCTTCCCAAAGGAATCTATCAACCAATAGCCGGGGGGAAAGTACCATCTTGCTGAAATGAGAGTCCTGGAGGAGCCTGGACCATATGCTTGCCTTCTCTGAAATCTTATAAAGAAGCCTAATGCATCTCTTTATTCCCTCTGTGTTGCTGGAGGGGTGTACATTCGGCCAAGCAGGCTGAGGCAGTGCAAGAGACAAGCCCAACACATCTAATGGGCATCAGAGTGGGCAGCTAGAAGCTGTGCATGAGCAAGGGATAATACTGGTGGGTTCCCATTCTCTTGCTCGTTTGAATGGTCTCAAAAGAACAGCTACTGGCAGCCTCTATTGGGGTGCTTTCATTTTCATGAAAGACCCTCCCATCTTCAGGATTCTGCAGGAGTCATTGTAATAGAGCTGGGAACCACTTGGACAAAGCCCCTAATTATTAGTAGCGGTTCTTTATCCAAGGAAACAGCAATTTTGTTAGTTGCTTCCACCCTATTCCTCCCCCCCCCCATTACATAGTAGCTGGTATTCTTGTTAATCCTCAACTTATGATCACAATTGGGACTAGAATTTCTATTGCTAAGCAAGGCAGTTATTGTAAGTCATGCCTGATTTTACAACATTTTTTGTCACTGTTGTTAAGCAAATCTGGCCTCCCTCATTGACTTTGCTTGTCAGAAGCTCGCTGGGAAGATCACAAATGATTATACGATCCAGAACACTGCAACCATTGTAAATACATGCAGGTTGCCAGGCGCCTGAATTTTGATTATATGTCCATGAGGATGCCATGACGGTCTTAAGAGCGAGGACTGGTTGTACGTCACTTTTTGTCAGTACTGTTGTCATTTCGGTTATAACTGAATTGTAAGGCTAAACAATATGAATCCAGACACTTTGTTTTGTAAACCCTCATTAATGGTTTAGCGTTTTTGTGAACCTTATCAGTTGTAAATGTCTATGGAGATTCTCAGTCCAGTTGTTTTTTGAAAAGCATCTTTGGGACCTGCGAACTGCATTTTATTCAGAAAAAAATTGTTAAGCAAAATAGTGTTTTGTGAGATTACAGGCACTGGGCTTCATGCATCAGATTAAGCCATAATATATTTAATATGCGCTTGAGGATTAAGCCATAATATATTTAATATGCGCTTGAGGATTAAGCCATAATATATTTAATATGCGCTTGAGGTTACTGTGTTAACTCAGTTATGTTTATGTCTTTGTATCATGTTTGAAACTGTCCAGTTCGTTTAGTGACCATTCAGAGTTACAACAGCACTGAAAAAAAGTGACATGACCAGTTTTCACACTTACGACCGTTGTAGCATTCCCCAAGGTCATGTGATCAAAATTCAGAAGCTTGGCAATTAACTCATATTTATGAAGGTTGCATGTCCTGGTTTCACATGATCCCCTTTTGCGACCTTCTGACAAGCAAGTGGGGAAGCCAGATTCACTTAACAACAATTTGACTAACAACTGCGTTGATTCATTTAACAACTGTGGCAATAAAGGTTGTAAAATGGGGCAAACTCACATAACAAGTTAACAAATTTAGCAACAGAAATTTTGGGTTCAATTGTGCTCATAAATCGAGGACTACCTGTATTAGTAAAATCAATGCAGTGTGTGAACTCACAAGTGAGACAGAGCGACTCAGCAGCAAAAATGTCAACATCTTTTACTCACTGGCTCCTGATGGACTCTATTACTCATTCTTGCTCAAAGTCAGAGAGTGAGTGTCCAGGTAGAATAGTTTAATCCAACCTTGTGGTTTTTAGATGTGCTCTACTAATATACCCATCGTTCTTACCAGATTTTCTGTTTAAAAATCTAGGAACTGAAGCAATATAGAAAAATATCAACCTCAAGAGTGGTACATAGACTTCTGTGGACACCCTAATGTATAAACATGTCAGAAGTCACCAGCCAGTGGGAGCTGTCTACTCATCACAAAATGAGTTTAGACATCTCTCAATATTTACTCAAGCTTTGCTTGCTGCAGTGATTGTGTAAGCACACTGTATGCTTTGATGATATTCAGGCTCCTCCTTTTTTCTGCACATGCATAATATGCTTTTTTAAAAACTGTGATCCCTGTTTCAACTTGAGAAATACTGATTTAGTGATTTGTGTGAACATATAGTAGCCATCTAAAAGCCCAGTGCTGAGCCACAGCCCGTTCGGAACCAGGCTGCGGAAGTGGTGAGCAAGTGCGTGCCCGAAGCTGCATTTGTGAAAGCAGCACATGTGTGTGTGCACAAAACCATCCCCTCTCACCCCCACCCCGCTGCAGCCATCGCCAACACCTCTGTGGTCCACTGAGCTGGGATGGGTGGGGACTGCTACTATAGAAGAATACAGCTGATGAGCAAATAAAAATACTAGCAATTATATTCACAATTAATGCTGAAAGTAAATTATGTTTTCACAACAGGTAAATCATTATTTACTCATGATTTATAGAATTAATTCCCCTATTCACAGATTCAGCTTGCATTTATATAGTATGCTTAACTTAGTTACAGGTAAGTAAGGCAGGCAACTACAATTGGCATCAGAATTTCTATTAAGCAGTACAATTGTTACGTGAGTCATGCCTGATTTTATGATTTTTTTTGCCATGGTTGTTAAGTGAATCACTGCAGTTGTTAAGTGAATCATAAAGTCATTATGTTTCCCCCATTGACTTTGCTTGTCTGAAGACAGCTGGGATGCTTGCAAAGGGAGATCACATTAACTCTGGGACACTGCAACTGTCATAAATACATGCTGGTTGCCAAGTGCCTGAATTTTGATCACGTGACTGTGGGAATGCTGCAATGTTCGTAAGCATGAGGACCAGTTGTAAGTCACTTTTTTCAGTGATGCTGTAATTTCAAATAGTCACTAAATGAATGGTTATAAGTCAAGGGTTATTTTATTGTAATATTCTGAATGTATACAATATAATGAGCCACAGTTAAATAAATGAACTAATTTCATACATCACTTTAAGTTTCAAGAAACTCCAATGCTCTGAGAGAAATTGCTATGAGAAAGTTGAGATAGTAGCTCATATTTTCCTTCTAAGCAGCTTCTATAAAGGTGGCCATAATTTTAGAGTATATCTTCAATCACCAAGGGTCATCTATTCTAATCCATACTTGTTACTAAAGAATAAGTGTGTTTTGCAGGTAACAAGTTCCATTTGCCACTAGGAAAGACATACTGATTATTACCAAGAATGTTTGGTTTGTGTTATGTTATGACAGAGATTGAGTCACTGGTAACTGCTGAGTCACCTTAATAAATGCTGATATGGGAACCATACTGAGGCTTAATAAAGTATGGCCTTCCACATTTATATTGACTTTCTGCAAGAACCTGAAGACTTGGCGGAGGATCATACTGGAGGTGGTTGGCTAATTAAGTTCAACACCACCCCTCACCCTCCCCATCTGTCTCACGCCCTTCTTTGCCATCTTGTCTCTATGATTGTTAATGTTTTTATCTGTTGTTTTATAATGGACATTTGTCATGTTTTTCATGCTGTAAATCTCCCAGAGACATTGGATACAAGATGGACAGATTTATTTATTTATTTATTAATAAATAAATGCCTTTAGTTCTAATAATCAACACTAATTTGATGAAACATAATTTCTCTGAAGTCGCTCATAATTTATTTACTTTTATTCCTTTTTAAAATGATTTTTTGTCATTTTATATGTCAGACACTACTTCAATTTTTGTAGAAACTACAGTACATTGGGGAATTTAGTTTTCAAATATAGGTATACCACCTTGAACTTGAGACTTCAAGACAAACTGGTTTCAACTATCCCCAAGTCCCACTTCAGGGTAAATGTGTTCACTGTGTTGCATGTATTTGCATATGTGCATTTTACGATGCCTTAGTATTGCTTGTATTAAAATCATTCTACAGGATCAAGTCAAACCTGTTCTTATTTTTCTAACTACTGCATTTCAGAGAAGACGGGTTGATTAGGAAAAGTTTCCTTTTTAAAGAAAGATAAAATGAACTAAGGTTGGAAATAAATCTATTATATGCAGGCTGCAAATATCCAGATTGTTAGTAGCAAAGGCATAAAGACATATTGAGTGCCCCTGGCATCCTGTGGTTGTCCAGATTTTTGCAGCCTATGGTAGGTCTGCTTGAAGAAAAGATATTTGCCTTTGCAAGATTAAGTAATCTTGATAGAATTGTTTTATTTTCTTGGTTATGAATGCTAACTTTCCTGGAAACTTAATAAACAATTTGATTTGAAATTAAACTTCATTGGATACTTTGAATGCTCACAGATCGGCCAGCTTTCTATTTTGGATTATGTGTGCTCATATCCCAGGTTTAGAGAGAACAAACTGAAGAAAACTATAAATTGGGCTTTTCCTATTGTCGGGAAAAGGCAACTGAAACTACTATTAGTAATATTAGTACAGTATTTCCTAAACTTTATCATACATCATTAAAGGAAATTTGTTTCATCCTGATCCCATGTTGTAAGATGGATGGGCAGGGTTATGTCACTGGGTTTTATGTATGCTTCTATCTTCAAATGTTCAGTGTTGGAGATAGTCAGGCATAAAACATATCATCTCTATTCTAACTTCAATTAATAATAACAGAAACACTAGCCATGCCATTATTATTAGAATTATGAAATTAACATCCATGGAATCTATTCTTTTCTAGAGGCTTGATTTTAGGACTCCAGCCTGCTGCCTATGTTCCTCATCTATTTATATCAGTTTCTCACTAAATAGCATGACTTATTGCCTAGTCAGACCAGCTGACTAGGTTCAAAAAGTCTAAGGAACAGTCACTCGCTGGATTATTGTGCTTACAGAGCAGGAAGTCAATCTGTTGTATGCTTTGTTTTTAAAAATATTTCTAAAGAGGGGAAGAATACTTTCAACACCAGAGCAGCTAAAAGCTTTCTTTGTCAGACATCAAGTAAAACAGATTAAGGGACAAACACTATACAAAATGTCAAAAACAATTCTCATCCAATGTCAGCCCTTCAAGGTAGTCCAGACAAGCACAAACATTTTGCATGACTGTTATGTAGGTTATGGCTCTTTCTCCTGCCTCCCAAAGTCATTTCCATATATACCATTTAACATTCAGTGGGTTTTTATAAAAATAGATGGTTGTGCCGTTTCACTCTGCAAAAGAGATTTGCCCCATAACCGAACTACTATTTTCTCTTGCCCTGTTTGCTTCAGACTTGCCTGTAGAACCAAGGAAATGCTAACTGGAAATTGTCCTGTAGTTGATATTCTTAGATTTGCTTTCAAAATTGGATGCCTGCTGTCAGGGAAGTAGCATCAAAAAGCATAGGGAGTGGGGATAAATTGGTTGTTGCCCTTCTTTCAATTGTAACAGCTCCCACTCCATTAGGAAACAATAGTGGACATGAGTGTAAGTAAATACCAGGCTGACTCTGTTTGGCTTTGACAGCGTTCTAAAAATAATTAATAAACGGAACCAGAGGGAACTTGCTTGAGGCGAATTAGAATGTGTGAGAAAGAGACACAGAGAGATTATGTTAATCCAATTTACACTGTAATTTTCTTGTGTTTCAGAAGAAACACCTGGTAGGAAACCACTGCCACTTTTGAGCAATTATGGTTAAAAGGGGCTCTGGGGAATCAGAAGATCAGTGCCATTTCTTTGTCTAATTCTGGTACCATTCCATTTTTCCTCAGTCAAAACAGTGAAAATATTATAACAGTACTTGTAAGTGGATAGTTTATAATTATACTCGCAATGTCTTCTCTATTATGGGAATGGGAGAGTACTGTTACGTTGCAAAGCAATTTAAAATTTATCATTCACATTGACCCTGATTTGATCAAAATTTACACTATCCATAAAATAATTCTTTAGTGTGCAAATTGAGTATGACAGAAAATACATAAAAATACAAGAAAAATGTAAAGAGAGTCAAATTGAACAAAATCATTCAAAATGTACCTTATATCATTCTAGGCATTCAACTAGCGAGCTCATCTCTGATCCTATAAAGAGTATAAAATCAATTTTTTTCTAGTCTAAAGACATTTGGCTTTATCTTTTATCATTTTACTAGTATTTAAAATCTTTAAACATATGAAAGTTGCTTTAGAAAGGAAAAATATTTTTTCTTAATCATAAATGAAAAAATACATTGCAAAAAAAGACAATGTTGTACAGTATCATGCAGTAAATTTGACTGTTTCATCCACTCCAATAGGAAACTTTTTCTTAGCGTTAATTTCCCTTTTTAGTATAAAGAGGACAAGTTAGTACTTATGTAAATATGTAAAAGGACACTATTTTAAAAAAAAGGGCACTTAGGGGGCTTCATTAGGCTCATGGGTGTTAGCTTGTCTACCTTAGGTTTAGAACAAAAATACCATGTTACTCAAAGTATGTAGAAATGTTACAAGTATATAGCAGCAGGGGGTGCTGATGTCCATCATTTGTTGATGACCTTGATTGTTTTATTAATGGAGAATGTTGGACTGCTCTTATGTTGCTTTTAAAGCAAATTGGATTCAGTCCACAATGACTGATTGGGGAATCATCATGATTATCTTTTCCCTTCCACTTGTGACCAAGCATCTGTGGTTTCATATCAAGAAATACTGAAGTGGTGTGATTCGCATTGTAAAATTAGGGCTCTTTTAGCATTTCAGAATCATCGATATATCAGGGCAGATATGATTTGTCAGTCACACAATATTCCTTTTTGCTTCACAAATTGTTATAGCATATAAGATGATTCCATTCAGACTCAATCTCCTTAGAACAAGCATGTCAAACTGCTGGCCCGCAGGCAGGATGCATCACAACGAAACCGTGCCCACCCCATTGCCGGCAATGGGGGAAAGTCGCGATATGTCATGTGACATCATGTGACATCATGAGTTTGACATGCCTGCCTTAGAAGAAAATAATGAAAAGCTAGTAAAGCCAAACCAAGCCAAGTTATAGGGAACATTTGGAAGGGGGAGGGCAGGCTGCAGTGAAGAGAAGTTGCAAATGAGAAGAAAGTTGTCTAGTTTTACAAGCCAAGTTATGTCTGGAGACAAAAAATAATTACCTAAGGATTTTCATTTTTAGATGAGAAGTGACAGCAGAAAAAGAAAGCAATGGCCTCAGTGGTGGGATTTAGCTGGTTCGCACCACTTCGGCAGAACCGGTAGCTAATTTTTTGTTGCCCAGGCCCAGAATGGACTTCCGGAAGCAGCATCCACACAGAGAACCAATTGTTCACATATTTGAATCCCACCACTGGATGGCCTCCAAAATTGTACAGGATCTTCAACTACATCCCACATTCCAGTACTATAATTGGGGCAAAAACAATCTTCACACATATATTTTATATGCATTCAGTAAATAGGGTTAGCAAACTCAAATTAGTTTTGGATATTTTTCCACCTATGTGTGAATTAATAATCTTTGCTCCTCAATTTAAAATTTCCAGAGGGACTAGTTGAAATATTTTGTACTTTTTTTCTTAGAAGATTGGCAATTCTGAAATGAATATATTTGTACCAGGAAGATTGGAATGAAATGATTTGGAATAAGATAATATGACACATGAAAGGGCTGAAGCACCAATATTAAAAAAGAAACATGGGTCCTTTTGGCGATCATGATATCGGTTACAAGAATACCATAGCTATTTTTCCACTGATTATCTTTGTGGGAGAGATTAGGGTTTCAGCTGCTAATCTAGTGTTAGAGACTCATGTGAATGTATGCTGTATTTTACAGCTTACTTTCTTAACAGAATAATCTATATTATTAAAAAAAAAACTAGTTATAGTGTTATAGTGATTTTAAATAATTAGGACCTCTACCCCATGTTTGTTAATTTGCTCTAGGAACCTACTTTTGTTTTTTGTTTTAAAGAAAAAAGGCAAGTTTGTTTTAGCTAGGAAAATAAAGTGAAATAGTTACACAATACTGTATGCACAAAATAATGGCCAATTCACACATCATACTATACTTTATATTTTAAGCAGTTTATTGAGAAACCAAATTAGCTGAGCTCACACATAAACTCTAAAGCAGCTTAAACATCAACGTCTGGTTCCCACCCTAAACCACAACCAAATAAATCCCATTTATAGCTTCATGTGATATGTGGAGTAAGAATGGGTATTTGGAAAGTCAATACTTCTCTTTTCAAGTAATATTTATTATGATTGGTAAAATGACATTTAGATAATATAATTTTCCAGAAAGATAAATGGGATGAAGTGGAGATTTTGGAGACTTACAAAGAAAAAGTACATAGTGTATTGTCCTTGTTTTAGGAATAATAAGTATACTTGACTAGAAAGAGTTTGAGAAACACAGAATAAATTACATATTTTGCATATATTAAAACCCATATTCAGACCTTGTCAATTCCAGATGTTTTCCTTAGCCCCTCTCACAGTTTCAACAATTTACCATCCTGATAGGGGAAAATGGGCATTATAGTAGTGTATCTGGAGAGTTAAAGGATTTTGCTTATAATGAATTTAATCAGACTCTGGGAATCAGAATAGACAAACCGGATAATTTTAGTGGAATATCTTGCTTTGGCATTAAAAAGATCTAACATTAGACTTTGATTTGGAATGTTTTGTATCTTCAGAAAGCTCCAAAATTGATAGCCTCTCACTAAATACTATCACTCCTATGCTTTAAAAAAGGCAAATTTTAATCAGTGAAGCAAGTTGTTCAGTTCCTACCTTTCTACCCGTTGAATGACTGATTGTCACAAGATTTTCAAAAAACATGGGGAAGTTCTGATATGTAGGAGGAAAAGTGCAATTTTGAAGCAGAGGAATAGCTGTTGCAAAGCACTGTAGCAACCAGGAAATAGCTACCTCTGTGGTTTTTGGTTTGGTGCTGTTTATATTGCTTTCTTTTTCATTGTTGCACTCTAGCTTTAGCATATATGGGAGACATATGTAGGAGACATTAAACTCTATTGGGAGGTCTCTTTACAATTTCATACTTCTTAGCCATTGGGTGTGCAATCTGGGAGTAATGGGAGATAAGAGTATAATATACCTGGAGAGAAGTAGATTGGGAAGGATATGTAGGGAACATGCAAAGTACAGAAGCTCTCATCTACTCGGAGGCAAAGTTCAAGGGAGTTTTCCCGCTTCTAAGTAGACGCAAAAAAGATTTTCTCTAAACCTGGCTTTCCTCAACTCGGCCGAACTGGCTGAGGGTGATAGGTAACTATAGTTGGAAAGTCCTAGGTGGGACTTTTAGAGGGAGGCTTCCCCTGCCCACCGTTCCGGTCTCAGTTCTCAGCCTATTTTTTAGTCTCATTCTCCGACCTTCGAAATCTTTCCTTTCGTCGTTATTTCAGGCTTTCGCTCTCCCCACCTCCTTCGCACATGAACGCTGAACCCCACCCCCTCGCCGCCGACCCGTCTGGCGGCGCCGTCTTCCTTCTCTCCCCTTTTGTGTGCGCGCGCGGTCGACCGCTCGCGCTGACGAGGAAGAAGGCGGAGGCGCGCGCGCGCAAAAATAAGAGTGGCTCGCCGCGCCCCTTCCCTCCTTAACTGCCACCAGCCATTGCCGGGGCGGCTTCCTGCTTACTCGCCTCCCTTCCTTTCCGTTGCTGCCTTCGCAGAACCTTCCCGAGGGCGCAGTTTTAGAGGCAGCGGTAGCAGCAGCAGCAGCAGCATTTTTCCTCACGCACATACACATAGAGACCCTTCCCTCCCCGCCTCACTTCCGTCGCCATGAATCCCAGCTGCGCCCGCTGCGGCAAAATCGTCTACCCAACCGAGAAGGTGAACTGCCTCGACAAGGTGGGTGTCGTGAAGAGAAGGCTCAAGTCCCGCTGAGCGGGTAGGGCTAGTGGCTTTTGAGGGGATGCCTGAGAGGGGAGGTCGCGAAGCCGAGGAGGGGGCGAGGAGCAGCGGCAGTTGGTAGCCCAGAGGGAGACGGTTGCTGCTGGTTGTCCGGGTGTGTGTGTGGGGGGGGGGGGCAGGCGGTGAAGGGAGAGCAATGTGGCGGACGGTTGGGGTGGAGCGGGGCAAAGATGTCAAGGGCGGGATGGTCGGTGCGGAGCGTGTATGCGTGGAAGGAGAAGGGAAGGCGGGCCAATTGGAGGAGAGGGAGAGGCCGGCAGGCAGGCTCCGAAGTGGTGGATTGCCGGAAGGGGAGAGCAGGCCAGGCTGAGGGAAGAAAGCATGTGGAAAGCACAAAGGGGGCATTTTAGAGAGTGGCCATCGGGGAGTGGTTGAAGGAACAGGGCGTGGGAGAGTAAGGTAGAAGGTAGCCTGAACAAAAGGCGGGGTGCGTAGAGGAGGGAATAGGGGACGGGTCAGCCGAGGGAACCTAGCGCTTGCTGGACGTGGAGCTGAAGAAGGCCTTCAGAGAATGGAGTGGCAAATTTCCTGGTTTAGTTAAATTACATGTGCTTTTTGTGAATGCCTCCACTGGGCCATTATTGCAACTTAAAAAGCGACTTAATGGTTGAGGGAATAATATCAAGTGTAAGGTATCACCTGTGGAACGGCGATTGATGACACGTTGAAAGCTTCATACTTTGGAGGGAGGGTAGAGGGTAGGGGCAGCTATTAAGGTTCAGGTTCTGCTTGTCGTGGGTTATACAGAAAAGGCAGTTTTGGAACTTTCTAAGAGAAAGTATGAAGGGAATTTGAGAAGCCTGCTGATCTCTAGTGACAGGTGTGCCTACCTGCAAAGAAAGTATGAAATATATTCAACAGTTATGTTGTAATTTAGAGAGGATGGAGTGGTAAAGAAAACTAATAGGATTTATCTTTTCAAGCTCTCAAAATTATGAATTAAATTAACACTGGGTTGAATTGGGATATATTGAATATAAAGATATTGTGGATTTAGGGAAGGAATGTTAAAAGCAGGGCAAAATATTGCTAGGTAACTAACACTTTTGACATTATTATGGTAGTTATAATATATCATCTATAATGTAAAGGCTTCTCACTTTACCCTTTTGCAATAATGTAATTTCAATAAAATTATGCAAATAGCCAAACCTAAGGCTTAGAAAAGTTTTGTTCTCTTTTTAATTTCTTTTAATATATGAATATGTTGCCTAGAAAGTAACTATTTGCTTTTTACTGTATTTTTACCAAATCACCTGCCCATTTTTTTCAAATAGAAGGATTACAAAATGATTTTCTCAAATTATTTTCAGCAAAGAAATGAAGCAAAGGTTATATAGAGCAGCTGATTTTGATACTGGAGACATTCCAGTTTTGATTTAAGTCAAAGTACAGGCATTTGAACCACAATGTCAATTTATTTAAGCAAATGGTATGACTTTAAATAGTTTTTAAGTTTTTATAAGTGACTTTAAATGAAGCCACTGTCAAGAGGAGGTTTCTACTATTTTTTTACCACAATTAAAAAACAGCTTTATGTATCAATAGCTAAAAAGAAGATGAACAAATTAGCCATCATCTGTTTTATGTTGGATTCTATTCCCTTGCCCACCTCCCTTCTGATCATTTCAGCAATGTTATATATAAGAATAGATCCTTTAAAAAATTGAGTTATTTTTGCTGTTTAAAAAAGAAATCGAGTCAAGTACTGTAGGGACTTTGCTGTGTATCATGTTTATAACTACAAAGACCTCTATGTCTTGCTCATCTTGTTACATATTTGGCTTTAAAAAGATTCCAACTTTTTAGATTCATGGATGATGTGGCAACTTTGTTTCCCTACTTGACTATGCCTTTATTAAGGGGAGGAGATATTTCTGTCATAAACTGAAACTACTAATTATATACTTCTGAAATAGTGATGGAGTTAAATCTTAATGAAGTTCGAGTTAGATTTTTCTAATGTAAAGATAGAGGTAGGGAACTACAGGTTCACCTCTTTTGCAGCAGAACTCCCTTAAACAGCTTACATTCACAAGTTGTTTTAAGTGCTAGCTTGTGCCAGTTTCACAAATGAAAATTTTCACTGCACTGTTAGTAATATTTTTTCTAATATAAACATGAAATTTATGTATGAATGTGCCATATGCTAGTAGATTTGTGTGACACAACCTCAGCATTATGTTTAGAATCATTTTTAAAGCTCTGTTTTAGTATTAAAAGAATGCAAAAACTATGACATAAAAGCACATTTGGTCTGCTCCCAAAGTCCAACCTGTGATTTAAAAGCATTGGGACAGAGACTGAAATTTACTTCCATATAATATTTATCAGTTAAATTGTTATGGTTGTCACTCTTCAACAATTATGAGTGGCTTGCAAAGATTAAAAAAACAATATATTAATATTAACAAAGAAAATATGATCATGCCTGGAGAAGAGAAATTTATTAACATTTACACCAAGGACATATATCTTCCATTCAGGATTATATCTCTCCCAGCATTGGCCCTGGGGAATGGGGAAAGAGCCAGGAGTCTTCAGGGCTCTTTTGAATAACTATAGGATCTGGAGTTAGAGAGTAACACCATTCAGGAAGGTGGGTATTGCAGTAGACTGAGAAAACACCCTTCTTGGTTCCATGAGACAACATTGCTTAATAGGTGGGACCAAATATGTCAAACCTGTTATCTTACAAGATGGCAGAAAGAATTGGAGAAATAAAGTTCCCCCAAATATTTAAACCCTATTATAATTTTGTTCTGCCTTTTTAATATTTAACTCAAGATGGCAAACATACCTAATACTCCTGCCTATTATCATGTGAGGTGCATTGGGCTGAGAGCAAGTGCCTGGCTCCAATATCACCCACTCATTTTTCATGCCTACGGAAGGACTAAAACTCAGTCTCGTGGTTTCTACGTCAGCATCTTAAACACTATGCTAGAAGGGCTCTCTATTTCATGGTGGGCTTTATAGATAACAACCAACATCTTGAATTGTATCTGAAAGCCGTCTAGTAACTACTAGTATATGGAATCCCTAGTAGGCGGTATTAGTTGAGATTCTTTATAACCTAATGGATTCCATCCATATGTATCATTGTTTTGCCAATTTTCTAAATAGTTGCTCATGTAAGTTGTATTTCCTGATAAATTGCATTTTTTTTATTAAAGCTCCATACTGAAACAAGATCTGAAAATCTCAAATTTATTTGCATTGAAAATTATAAAATGGTATCTGCATTTTTATTCAGACACAAGAAATTGGTTGAACAATTTAACAATCTAGACCAGTCATGTCAAACTCGCAACGTCACATGACGTTGCACAACGCATCGAGACGGTTTTGCCATTGCCGGCAATGGGGTGGGTGCGGCTTCCGGATGACGTGTCCTGCGGGCCGGCAGTTTGAAACCCCTGATCTATACCATGTATCAAGTGTTTGTACTATTCCCATCTTGTATATTGAAAATGAAACCAAGATTTACTAAGTGAATACAGTGACTGAATTTGGGTACTTGTTTAGTTTTTTAAATTTTCAAGTCCCTATATGCCATTTGTTAAGCCACACTGGCTATTGTTTAATTATGCTATACAATAAGTTTTATTCTATAGAACTACTATATGAATTTTGTTCTGATGTAAGAATAGTGGATATAGTATTTAGATATATTTTTGTACCTAGAATTTATATTGATTTAGAAAGGTATGCAAGAATGTTCCATCTTATCTCTAAAACTGGATTTTCATTGCATATTGGGCTGCAAATTAGCCAACCATGTTTTAATTTACTATGTGTAAAACTGTGGACTGTTTATGATTTCTTATATTATGTAAATATTAGGTTAATTAAATAAAGAAAAAACCTGTTAAAGCTACGATCATGTATGATAGCTCTTTGCTTTTTGTCAGGCACTAGTCATAATTTTATACACTGGCCACGTTCAGTGTTACAACATTCATACATAACATATCCTTGGTCCCTCTTCATTTCAGAATAAATAGCAGAGTAACAGAATTGGAAGAGACGTTGGAAGTCTTCTGGTCCAACCCCTTGCTAAGCAGGAGACCCTAAACCATTTTGGACAATAGCTGTCTAATTTCTTCTTCAAAACCTCCAGCAATGGAGCACCATAACTCTGGGGCATAAATCATTTTTTAAACAATTAAAAGATTTAGGAACTTGAAATATAGTTATCAATTTGAAGCAAATATTAGAGCGAACTTGGCCTGTGTCGTAATACGTTTTAGGTTGGAAAGATTGCTATATGAAAAATGTCTTTGCCCAATTTTATTGGTAGCTACGGTATTTTGCTACATATTAATAAAGGTGAATGACTTATTGTCTGATAACAATATTCAAATTTGCAATGTATATTTGAGATGAAATTTGCAGTCATTCAAATTGTATACATCATAAGAAGGCTCTGGTTTTTAACAGCTATCTGAGACTTCCAATTGACCTGCATTTGCTTGGTGACTGAAAACATAGTTATGTGTGGGTATACATTAAAGAAGTCCTAATTTTAGTTATGTCAAAGGTTCAGTGAAAATTAAAAAATATAAAAATGAACTGCATGAGGAATTGGCTTTCAGCCTCATATGAAGGTGCAAATCTGTTGCTTTAGGCAATAAAATGAGGCAGACTTCTCTTCTAATACTGATGAGTCATTACGTGCTCTTGTCATCTGGGCTGTATTTAAAAATTGGGTGTGGTGAATTCCCATATTATTAGCTGACTCCAGGATACTTTGCAATTATCACTGATTGTGGGTATTCAGAAGAGTAGCAAATCTAACTATTGTTCTTGATCATTAAATAGTAGTGTACCAATTCTTGCTTGACAGTCTTGTTTAGAAAGCTGCTGTTTTGTACTTGATAAAAAAACTAAGCTATTAGATGAATCTGTCAATAAAAAGGTCTGTATGGGTACAGGTACTCCTTGAGAAACTTGGATTTTCACATGTTATCTGATAGTTTTCGTGGAATTCTAAAATAATAAAATGCAACAAAGATGATTAGGGGACTGGAGGCTAAAACATATAAGGAACGGTTGCTGGAATTGGGTATGTCTAGTTTAACGAAGAGAAGGACGAGGGGGGACATGATAGCAGTATTCCAATACCTCAGAGGCTGCCAGAAAGAAGAGGGAGTCAAGCTATTTTCCAAAGTGCCTGAAGGCAGGACAAGAAACAACGGGTGGAAACTAACCAAAGAGAGAAGCAACCTAGAACTAAGGAGAAACTTCCTGACAGTTAGAACAATTAACCAGTGGAACAACCTGCCTCCAGAAGCGGTGAATGCGCCAACACTGGAAGTTTTTAAGAAGAAACTTGACAGCCATTTGTCCGAAATGGTATAGGGTTTCCTGCCTCAGCAGGAGGTTGGACTAGATGACCTCCGAGGTCCCTTCCAACGTTATCATTATTATTATTATTATGTAGGCAATTCAATAAGCAGAATCTTTATGAAGATTTTAATGGGTAATTTTATACTTGTGATTCTGCTCCAATTCTCCCCCCTCCCAAAAGTGCTGTAGAAGGATTATCAAGAAAAATAAAGACCACAGTTATATGTAGTAAGAAGATACATTTAACCCATTTTGACACTAAATGGAACCCTTGAAAAGAAATGGAAACAGATTAATTCTATAATATTATTGGGAACATGTTATATAAGGTACATTAATAAGTGGTTTAAAGTACATACTACTTTGAATATTTCTAATTTGCCACTTTCTTTCTCCTAATCCTGAAAAGATTGCCCTAACAGTTTGTTAAGGATGTGGGATGATGCGAAACGAACAGAAAGGGCTATCCTAAATGTTCTATTCCAGGGCTTTTCAACCTTTTCACCCATTGTACCACTTTTAGGATATGGCAACATCCGAGTACCACCAGTCTCCTAGCAAGGTGTCAAAAACATGATGACACCCCCCCCAAAAGGAAAAAAGTGATAAGTACAGGTAGTCCTCGACTTATAACAGTTCGCTTAGTGACTGTTTGAAGTTACAATGGCACTGAAAAAAGTACCCCCCAAGTCACAACCGAGCAAGACGCCCTCCCGCCTGGTGGCGCTCTTCCTCCTGTCCGAGGTTTTCATTGTTGTGAGCATTTCTATTGAGGATTGGCAGCGGGGGTGGGGTAGGGGGGTGTTTGGTTTTTATTCCCCCCGTCTGCTGGGTGGTTGCAGCAGGTTTTGGTCACTTCACATGACCCTGGGAGACTGTGACTGTCATATGCCAAGTATCTGAATGTAAATCACAAGACCCTGGAGATGCTGCAACATTCCAGCTGATTGGCGCTTCTGGGCTCAGCAGAAGCACCAGGATCAGTGCCAAGCTCCAGCTGGAGCCTGGCGCTGATCTTGGCGCATCCATTGAGCCCTGTCAGCCCCAAAGAAGCGCTGATCCTGGCGCTTCCGCTGAGCCTTGACAGCCCTGCAGCTCCATCCATCTGTCGCTCAGGCTTGTGCGGTGCTGCCACCGGTTCAACTCATTCCCCTCCCCCGCTACCACTTTTCTAGGATGGTCGCGTACCACCTGCCAGGTGCCAATGTACCACAGGTGGTACCCGTACCACTGATTGAAAAGCCCTGTTCTATTCTAAATCTAGTACTTTGTTCTATAATCATCTTGGAATTTAGTACTATTTTTAACCATTTATCTTCTTTTAAGAGCTTACTACCATTTTCACTAACTAAATAAAAAGATGTATTTGTCCTGGACTTGTTCAGTTTTTGTTTTTACATTTGAGCAACAAAAAGTTCTTACAGTGAGTATCTATCTAAAAAATCCATCATGTATGACTGGTACAAAGACTTGTTATCTTTGAATATACATTCTTTACTTAATTAACCCACTTGCAATGTATTGTAATGAACTAATACTTGTAGTGAACTAATATAATACTTCTTATATTTCCCTAGTACTGGCATAAAGCATGTTTTCATTGCGAAGTCTGCAAGATGACTCTCAACATGAAAAACTACAAGGGCTATGAGAAGAAGCCATACTGCAATGCGTGAGTATGATTTTCAGTGCTTTGCCTTCATAATTCCAGAGATGCATAAACCAAAACTATTTTGTAAGGAACTATATATTTATAAATCTTGGTTGAGATCTTAAACTTCATTTGCAGATAAGCAATATGAAGAAAAAAAGTGACTAAACAATGCTCCCATGGCATTCTTAATCCTATACAGTGCATTTTTAGTTTTCCAAATCTCTATACTCTTTCTTTTTCTTGGTAAATATGAAATTAATGGAAATAATATATTAAATGACAGAGACACCAGCATAATGCCTTTTGCCAAAGAAAAATATTGGTGTCACTGTTGGTTAATGTGGTTATATCAATATAAAAGGAGAATTTGTGGCTTCACTAAAAGAAAAAAAAAATCAGAAATTGTTCCTGAGCAATAATTCAATGGAAAAACTTGGAGAGAAGTTTCCATGCTGAGGAACAACTGTGATGCAGCAGAATGGTGATCATAGAAGGAAGAAAAGCTACAAGATGAACATATTTAAACAGGCTTTGGAAAGTAATGAAGAACTAAGTATAAGGAAATATATAGCAAGGGAAATTTTAGTCAGCGGTAGGGAGCAGAATGTTTTGTGAGAGATAGTTCTTATTATTAAAAAGAAAAACTGAGAGCAAGTTACAATTAGAATGAATGTTTTAAATGAAGAGCAGTTACATATAAGTTTAAAGCGAAATATGTAGCATGAAAAGCATAGCTGCTAGCTGTGGGCAATAATACAAATTGCAGTTACTGCTTCCCCAGATCTTGATCTTCCAGTGGCATTGTTTATTTGGGTTTATTCAGTGCGAATTGTCATAGTATCTTCTAAATGTATTTTTAAAATAGGTGAACAGGTGTTTTGGATGGTGCTAAATCCATGTCCCAAGTATTCTGAAATAATCTTTGGAGATTGACTTGGAAGGATTGCATAGTTGTATGGTATATTACAGATAATAAAAACTCCTTAATAAGAGTATTTCACTTGGTAAAAATATTAGTTGATTCCCTAAGTAAATTTCTTAATACTGTAATCTAATTTAGGATGATATTTTTAAATTTAATATAAGAAAGGTTTTCTGTTTAAATCACTGCTACAGATATAATACATTTTAATTTCAGTACGTGAAACATGAGTAATATTTCAGTGATACTGATCTGCTTTGGAAATGAAAACAGATAATTATTTAAAAATAGGAAAAATTAAAAATTAAAATTAGCTGTGGTAAATTTTCAGAATTCATATAAAAGCTAGTGAAATGTTTGCCTGAAATCATTGGACCATCTCTGCTATTTGGATTCTTTTAAAAAAAAGAAAAAGAAGATTAAAAAAAATTAATATTTAGTATTAGCAGCTTCTGTGAGTCTGTTTTCAAAGTAAGAAAAAAGTAGTTATCCTCTGCTAGTAGTATATAAACTGCATATTCATAGCTGTGTGTGTTGCAGTGTGCAGAATATTCTTTACTGGGAATGGTCATTTTGAATGTTACATCACTTGTACAACAAAATAAGATACATGTCCAACTTGAGACAATATGGGATATTTTATTCCAAATTATTCGAATAGTGTTCGAATATGGCATAGTTAGATTCTCTCAATTCAGCAAACCATGGTGAATATATATCTGTCAATAAAATAGAAGTTTTCTGCTGATGTTGACTGGAGCTACGAAGGAAGAAAGTCTTAGGTAAGAAAATTTATTAGGAAAATTAAATTAAATTAAATTCATTACTATTTGCCCAGTAAGTAAATTGAATACTGAGTATTTTTTTATGTTTGGTTTTGCTCTGTGAAGTTAGGGTTAAGAGTTTGTGTTGTAATAACTGTTATCCTGTAAGTGTAATTAAATGGATATATTTCACCTCTATAGTAAAGGAAAAGAAGGTTGCTTCAATAACTGAAATGAAACACTGAATTGGCGCTGCCACCACAGCTTTTGGTTCACTCAACTGGTACTTATAGTAGAAATCAAACATTAATATATATAGTAAAATGTGAATGTTTTGATCGCTGATGCTACCAGAGTTTCTATTTCAGATTAGAATGATCATGAGTGCTTTTATAGCCATAAGTCCAAAATGTGAAGATCTTCCAAATGTACAGCCTTCATAGAATATCATATTGAATCTGTACAATGAAACCATATGTCAGTAATGCTGCAACCAACTAAAAAATAGCCAGTGAAATCCAAAAACGGCATCTGAAATGTTTAGAAACATTTGCAGAATGGACCCAGTTTTTCATCCGTGCAAGCTACTCTAGAGATTGAGTGGTGAGGACAGCAAAAAAGATTACTGGAAGTTCATTTCCTTCTATTCAGGACATAGCTTACAAGCGATGCTTGCTCAGGATCCACAGTACATGTAGTCCTTGACTTACAATAGTTGATTTAGTAATGGTTCAAAGTTACAATGGCACTGAAAAATGTGACTTATGACTATTTTTCACAGTTACAACCTTTGCGGCATTCCCGTGATCATCATGTGATCAAAATTCAGATGCTTGACAACTGGTTCATATTTATGATCATTGCTGTGTCCCAAGGTCATGTGATCACCTTTTCTGATTTTCTCACAAGCAAAGACAACGGAGAAGCTAGATTCACTTAACCGTGCTGCTAACTTATCAACTTAACAACTGTGGCAAGAAAGGTCGTAAACTAGGGCAAAACTCACTTAACAAATGTTTCACTTAACAACAGAAATTTTGGATTCAATTGTGGTTGTAATTTGAGGACTACCTGTACCTCTAAGTTGAGGGCTACCTGTAGTTGAGGACTACCTGGATTTGCTTAACAATGACATGATTTGCTTAACAACTGTCATAAAAATTGTTGTAAAATTGGATCTGACTGGACTTATGGCCACAACAATGTACAATGGAAATTATAGTTTCAGTTGTGGTCATAAATTGACGACTACCTATAATGTTCCAGTGGAACATTTTAAATGAAACTGCTTTGTTATGGTCTCAGAACAAAACATTTTTATTTGAGATACTCTTTGCTTCAGAATTATATTATGACTAGACTTTAATCATTTGACAAACAATTCCAAGCCTCATGAATAAGAAAATTTGGATAAAAATATTTGGCCTCTGTGAAAAATGATTGAATTATGGAATTACCCAATTTTTGCCTAGGAATAGGCAGATTTTACAAACTTTTATTTTTCCACTAGAACCCTAGCAACCATTAAGTGAACACAAGTGTGAAATTGTGGCTTATGTAGGTGGGTAGTTGCAGAAAAAAAGGTTTCTGAGCACAATCTCATTTTATTATTTTCAGAACTGAAGCATGCACATAAACTATATCCCTTATTTACAGCAATCTAATTTAGAATGCAAAACAACCTTCTGGTTTTGGAGTTATAAGCTTTTGCTTTATTTATTAAATCCTATTATATATCTACAATATCTATAGATTCTAGGCTACTTTTTGCTACCTATGTCTCAGATTATACTTGGGTTTAAAATGTTCTTTGTCCAGAGAGACTTCTGGTCCTGCATGGTAGTGACTGGTCATGGGCTTGTGGACCGCTGCACTCCCGTGGCTAATTTTCGTCCTGCCTGGAGACCCTAATGGCTCCAAGCTGCCCCGAAGAGGTGGCAAAGAAAGAAGGGTGCCCCGGCGACTCTGGAATGAGGGCAGTCGTTCCGTTCGTCTTGGGGAAAGCCTTCTAACCCGACAGGAGAAAGGCTGTATTTCACCAATCAGCCCAAGCTACTTGCAACCAACGTTCAAAAGAACTAACCAGCACAACAGTAAACAGCGTGCTTGAAACTGGGTGAGGAATCTGATTTTCCCTTTTCTATCCTACACTTAATTTTCTGGAAAAGATCCCCAAGAAGCAAAATACCTCCGAAAGTGAAGGAAGGGGAATTCCCCCCTATCCTTATACTAACGGAAGTGGCAAGTTAAAATTTCCATGGAGGATCAAAATATATGGTAGTGAAATAAATTTATAAATTTATAAGCTAAAATTTAACTTTGGACAAATTTAAAATTGTTGAATGGTTAAGACTGTCATTTTAAAGACCATTGTTCATATTGAAACCTAAATAGATACTGACACCTAGTGGTGGATGAAGATTATGACAGTTATGATTTCCATAGAGAACTTGCCAAAACCTGGGAAAAGCTAATCTGTGTTTGTGACCTTCAAAGCTTTAATAACAATGAACAGCTGTGACAAAAAAAGACAACAATCTGGGCTGCAGACAAAGAGAGAATTATAAACTTTAGAAAAAAAATCTTTTTTGAACTCTTTGGATTACAAATATCTATTTAACTGGGACTCTAAAGCTATTTGCAGATAAGGAAAACTTCAGCTTTTGGCCATCGTGGATCAGAGACATATAGATCGAACACACCAAGAAAACACAAATACCTCTCAGGAGGAGATATATATAGTATACTACAATTAATTCAAATAACATTGAGTTCAAATCACAAAGAAATCCAAAATAAATTTGAAAATATAAATCAATCTATTTCTAAGTTAACTCTAGAAGAAAAAAACTTCCAGGAAACAACAACAGAGAAGGAGCAGACAAAACAAATAAGTGGACATAAAATTGAAAATAGAGACTCAAAGATGGAACTTAACAAAGCAAGAAAACATGATTTAATCCTAGTGGGAATTTTTTTTACAAGAAATGGAAAAAACAACTCATCCCTTAAGACTACAAAATAAATCTGAGGACAAAAAAACAGATTGGATAAAATGGAATCTAGAGATGTTGAAAACATCAGAGAGAAAGGAAGTAATAAGAGAAGCAAAGAAGGAGAAAAAGAAAAAGATTTTCAAGAAACATTGAAAGTCAAAAGTCTCATATAGAGACACTTTATTCGATTTACTTCTTATACCTACAGCAACAGTCATGAATATATGGAAAAACTTTTTGATTCAGCAAAACAGATTGATCAAGAAAGATACTGGTCAAAGGAAAAAGATTAAAGTGAAAATTAAGAAAATAGACGATGGGATCTACCAGAGAGAA